AATATATATTAATTTTATAAATTTAACAAATATTCTCTATTATGTAAAGCTAATTTAAATTTTAAATTATGAAATGCAATTAACTATTTAACTTTACTACTAGTTTCTATGAAACAATTTAGTTTGTACTCATCTGCTTTTGTCACTAATTACCTACATTGATATTTCTCATTTTATATAGTAACTGTATTTTTCATGTTTTTATAGTTTGGTTAACTTTAATTTCTTTAGTTTCTGTTTTAATTACAACAGTTCATTTTTATATATCCAAATATTTAAATATTCAAGTAGATTTTATTGAATTAAATTGGAAATACTATTTATATTCTCAGTTTTTTAGATACTACGACTTAATTTACATATGTTTTCTGAATTTAAAAAATATTGCAAACTAACTCGCAGCAATAATTAATCTTTTATTTGTATACAATTGAATTTTCATAGATTAAAATTTAAATTAGCTTTATATAATTGAGAATATTTATTAAATTCAAATTTCATTCCTTGCAGCAATGGAGCAAGAGAATTTATTAATTTATTTAATAATTTATTTAACTATTTAACTTTACTATTAGTTTCTTATGAAACAATTAATTTTGTAAGTGATACTTTAATTCCCAGTTAATCACTGAAAGAAAAGCGTACTACAATTTCTATTAATAGTTAATAATAATTAGTTCAATACATTAGAACTCTGTTGTTCCTCGTTTTTATTTTGTATGTTTATTATAATATCAGGTATATGATATATTATAAGAATCAAGACTAATTCCGGTTTTCAGCTGACAAAGGGTTAAATGTCTTCAGGTACATCTATTTATTAGTGCTCGTTCGCGTAACAATAATCAATCAAACCATATCACAAAAGAAGATGTTAAAAATAGTTGTCTGCAAATTCTATTTTCGGAATCACTTCAAAGATGAATCGATAGTTTTTGCTTGTCTGGATTTTTCCGATCCGTACTTGTGATTTCGTACACTCCTTAGAGACCGTGAATCTTGAGATAAAGAACTAAAAGAACAGAAAAGGTGCTTTAAATTTGCCTTTAACAGCAAAATAAAGCTCGAAAATAAACACCTAAGAGCGTTGAAGATAGTTTCAGTAGAAAAAAGGAAACTATTTATATCCATTTGAGCTTACAAGAGCTTTGTTTTTGAGAAGCGAGGTGAAAACGCTCTAGGGAAAAGGCAGTATCTTTGGAATCTCCTTACCGTAAACAAGAATATTTTAAGATTAGAAAAACGTTAGTGAAAAGTGTGGTTTGGAAAAGGATTTTGGGGCAGAAATAAATTGTTTCTTTCAAGGTTTTTGTTTACTCTAAGAAAAAGGAAGCTGAATTAGGATGCCAGCTAACACAGGCTGTAAAGGTGGAGAGGATTTTCAATAAGGTTTTCCTAGCACACGTTAGAGTAATGCCTAGAATTATTCATTGATTTTTACATATAGTTAGTTATCTTTGACTTTAATGTATTTAATACAGCGATTCATGAAGTATTAAATTCACGAAAAAATGCTTTAATTCCTGAATTTCATCCTACAAATAATCATCCTCGTTGTAAGGTGAAACATACAAATACCTTTTGGACAAAAAGCAGTTCCTTGACACTAGGTCTGGTGAATATGGTGCATGGAGAAGAAGTTGAAATCTGCTCTGCTGAACCACAGACCGAAAAATCTTAGTCTTGTGGGTCGGAACGGTTTTTTGCCAGATATGAACATTGTTCTGCAAAAGCAAAATTTGTCTGCTCAGTTTTTCTACGTTTTAGCTTCATTGCTGTTGCAGTTGATTTAGGAGATTAATATAATGAAGATTGGATTATTGTGAGGTGCAGTGATCCCTCCTTGTCTATGAAAATGCAACTCAAAACCGTTCGTTCATCAACATATTTCTAGGTATACTTCTCATTTTTTGTTTATATTTTCGATTTATTTTAACTAAAAGAAAATCATCATACACTCTGTCCTAAAAGTTTATAGACTCAAGTATTCTATTACGAGTTTTAGATAAATGGAAATGAACACAAATACTAAATAAAAATCTGCTTATTTATATCACATGCGACTTGCATTCCAGTAAACATTCAACAAAAATAGCAAGTTGCATTTTAGAAAAAATAAAAACGCAGAAGAATATGTGTCTCATACGTTTACAGAATATTAATATTTTAGCAACTTGTAATAAATTTGAAATTACTTAATACTTCAAAGTCGCTCCATTATTCGGTATGATATCGAATACACGTTTCTCCAACCAGAGAATTGAGTTTTATAATAATTCTGGTTCCACATTGTACCATGCACTCTCGATGGCTGTTTTTAAGGCATTCACAGAAAAAAATGCTTTCCATTCTCGTAATGTCGCCAAGGCATAATAATCGGAGCTCATTCTCGATCGGGTTAAAATCGGGGCTCAAGAACAGTGATATTTTCCATGTTTAAGTAATTTTTTGTAGCATTTTTAGATGTATGAATGGGATCATTGTCACACTGGTACAGCCATTTCTGTCCTCAATGCTTTCTGCAAATTGCATAATATCGTCTCTTGAAGTTTCTGTGCATTTAGACGAATCTTGCCGATAATCTAGATAGGTAAAACACACTTGTGCGTTGAAATCAAAAGCTGCCCAGATACACATCCAGTGTTTCTATTGAAATAGCTCGGAGGCTCTTTTAGTAAGTCATGCCAATAATATTGTAGAGACATTATGATTTTTTTGGAAGTAGGCAAGATGAAAGATTAGCATTTTCGCTGGGAATCGAACCGCGGACCTCTCAATTACGCGCTGAGCGTGCAGATCACCACATCACGAGGGCTCGTTAAGAAGGCGGGAGAAATACTTTAGAATATGAATAGTTGATCCTTATGGAGAGGTACATTCCATGTACGTTGCGCAAAAAAATATGATAGTTTTATATCTCCCGTTCTACTGGGCCGATTGGCGAAATTCAACTTGCGTTTTTCATATCTCGAAAGCGCGACTTAGGATATGTATTAGATTTATATATATCATTGTTCTAATACAGGTATTTTGACACAAAATCGGACGACTTTTCTGAAATAACATACCAATTGTTTTCCATATTTCAATTCTAGACTCAAATTATGCCAAAATGCCAACTTTTGTAAAAATCGAAGAAGTAGTTCTTATCAAATTAGCTCTAAAAATTTTAGCTCCTCAATGTAAATTGAATTGATCTATATTTATTAATATCTCTTGTTTTATTAAACTTACTTAATCCCTTCTTCTATAATTCAATCCTCAATGTTAATCGAATTTGATCTATATTTGTTAATATCTCTTGTTTTATTAAACTTACTAGATTCCTTCTTCTAGAATTCGAAATCTAGGTTCATTCCAAATACAATTCGCCCATTTTTATGATTTACTTTCGAGACATGAAAAATGCAATTTGAATTTCGTCAATAGGTCCAGTAGAACAAGAGATATAAAACTGTACCATTTTGTTTGTGCAAAAATGCAATTTAAATTTCGTCAATTGGTCCAGTAGAACGGGAGATGTGGAACTGTACCATTTTGTTTGTGCAAAAATGCAATTTAAATTTCGTCAATTGGTCCAGTAGACGGGAGATGTGGAACTGTACCATTTTGTTTGTGGCAAAATGCAATTAATTTCGCAATTGTCAGTTAGAACGGAGATGTGGACTGTCCATTTGTTTGTGCAAAAATGCAATTTAAATTCGTCATTGGTCCAGTAGAACGGGAGATGTGGAACTGTACCATTTTGTTTGTGCAAATGCAATTTAAATTTCGTCAATTGGTCCAGTAGAACGGGAGATGTGGAACTGTACCATTTTGTTTGTGCAAAAATGCAATTTAAAATTTCGTCAATTGTCCAGTAGAACGGAGATGTGGAACGTACCATTTGTTTGTGCAAAAAAATGCAATTTAAATTTCGTCATTGGTCCAGTAGAACGGAGATGTGGAACTGTACCATTTTGTTTGTGCAAAAATGCAATTTAAATTTCGTCAATTGGTCCAGTAGAACGGGAGATGTGGAACTGTACCATTTTGTTTGTGCAAAAATGCAATTTAAATTTCGTCAATTGGTCCAGTAGAACGGGAGATGTGGAACTGTACCATTTTGTTTGTGCAAAAATGCAATTTAAATTTCGTCAATTGGTCCAGTAGAACGGGAGATGTGGAACTGTACCATTTTGTTTGTGCAAAAATGCAATTTAAATTTCGTCAATTGGTCCAGTAGAACGGGAGATGTGGAACTGTACCATTTTGTTGTGCAAAATGCAATTTAATTTCGTCAATTGGTCCAGTAGAACGGGAGATGTGGAACTGTACCATTTTGTTTGTGCAAAAATGCAATTTAAATTTCGTCAATTGGTCCAGTAGAACGGGAGATGTGGAACTGTACCATTTTGTTTGTGCAAAAATGCAATTTAAATTTCGTCAATTGGTCCAGTAGAACGGGAGATGTGGAACTGTACCATTTTGTTTGTGCAAAAATGCAATTTAAATTTCGTCAATTGGTCCAGTAGAACGGGAGATGTGGAACTGTACCATTTTGTTTGTGCAAAAATGCAATTTAAATTTCGTCAATTGGTCCAGTAGAACGGGAGATGTGGAACTGTACCATTTTGTTTGTGCAAAAATGCAATTTAAATTTCGTCAATTGGTCCAGTAGAACGGGAGATGTGGAACTGTACCATTTTGTTTCAAAAATGCAATTTAAATTTCGTCAATTGAAACGGGAGCTGTGGAACTGTAATTTTGTTTGTGCAAAAAGGCAATTTAAATTTCTAATTGTCGGAAAATACATTTTGTTTCCCGTCGAAATCAATAAATTCTACGGAAAGTACAAGTTTGTTGCTTTGCTTATTTTATGTTTTACTTCGGCGTATTTCTCTTTAGTGAGAAATGTTAACTTTAATTTCTAATTCTGCATCCTATATTCCTCCTATATATTATAAAAAGCACCCACCATCGAAGTTTTGCTATATATGTGCATTTTCTTTCTTTTTAAGCTGCCCGTCTTTTAGAGAAGATGGATCCATCCGTGGACCCTTGCGATGATTTCTACCAGTTCGCATGCGGCAACTATCTGAGCAGTAACACCGTACCTGATGATCATTACCTGCGTTCCACAATACAGACGATGCAGGACGACCTATACGTAACGCTCAAAAGTGAGTAGCAGGATTTTGTAAGCAAATTTCAATTAAATGCTGTTACATATTCTCTCTAGTAGAATTGAAAATAAATTAAATTTATATTAAATTTGAAGATAGCGTACACACACACACCACACAAAAAAAAAAAAAAAAAAAAAAAAAAAAACTCAATAAGTTTTTGCTTCAGAAGATAATTTTAATATATTACTTCTAAATAAAACTCCCAGAATCATAGGAGAGGAATTATTTGGAGGTGTACTTTGTGCATTGTGGATGCGAAACGCATTTATTTATTGCTTTTAGTTGAACTTTCGATTAACAAGAATTTTTTGAATCACATTTGTATTAGTAAGTATACTGACAATTTAATAACAGCAATGCAATGAAAGTGCATAACTCTGAAATTATTTAATTATTTTATTAAATTTATCTTCAACTATTCAGTTACTCTAAGGACGAGATAAAACAAATTTCACCATGAAAAGTAATTTATATAAAGAAATGAAAAGTTCGATTGAAGTAGCAATAAAACAGAATTATTTTAATGACAATTTGTTCATAAACATTTGGTAGTATTTGATGACATAATCATGTCTTAGTATGAACTGGGTAGCAGGTCAATGATTATACATAAACTAATATGACATCGATAGCTTTCAGCTATCACCATATTTGTTCCAAACAAAATAATCTTATTCCCAATCTCTCATAATCCCAATCTCTCATAAGTTAACGATAGCTAATGAATTAGTTCAAGAATCACAGAACAATGTAACAAGTACAATTACATTTTTACTGTCCGCTTTCTTATGTGAATCTTTGTAGAGGTTTCATATTAAAAAATATGATATCACTCAAGCATTTCTATTACCTTTTGAAGGTACTTAGACTACACTGTAACAAATAAAGTATTAAATATATATAAAATTATATATTTAATACTTGATTAAATATATAATATTGGCAATATTAATATGTAATTTTATATATTTAATACTTAATAAATATATAATATTGCAAGTACATCAGTCCGTAATCCAGTAATATTTTCTAGTTCCACACATTTTTATCATGGAAAAGCGAATATCAGCAGCCTCGCAGTAGGACCCGTAAACGAGACTTAAAATTTATTCCTCTGATAAGCTTTCCTGTCCTGCTGGTTGTAAGACTCGTGCTTCGCTGATAAGGTTTCCTGCCAAACTTTTTTATATTGGCCTAGTCACACTGCTAATTGCATGTAACATTGCGCATTTTTTGCTGGTTTAAACCTCCTAAGAAGAACACCAATTTGCAATTAAAATAAAAAAATTTAACACTATTATAATCCTTTTTTAAACTTATCGCCCACCAGCGGCCGAGCGGTAAAGTCGCTGAACACTGCTAGTTCGGTCCGAGGTTCGAAACCCGCGAACGGGCATGGCTGCATGGGCTTTTTCGTGGTTTTCCCCATGTGTAACGTGTATACGAGCCAGTTTCCCTTAGAAAGTCCTCCACGAAGGCATCCTTCCCTTAGACAGATAGCCTAGAGGCTTTGCCATAATCACACACACACACATTTTTAAACTTATCACAATTAAATTTTAGAAGCGTTAGTAATTTACAATTAACATAAAATAAGATCTTAATTAACGAGTTTAAATAGCAATCATATGCATGTGGATTAAATTTCAAGGCAATTAGCTCCTCTGATCCACTTAAATATGGATAAATAAACAAAGCGACATTAATAAAATGGAAACAATAAGAAGATATAACATTAAAAGCTAATACTTTAGTTATAAAAATGATGGTAAGCATAATATAGATATTTCAGAAATCCTTCAGCTATTAAATAAGCCCCCCAAAAAGTGAATAATATGATAGATTAATTTATTGGTAAATAATAAAAATTATAAAATTATTTTCTGTACACAAAGTAGAAAAACGTAATAAATTATTTCACGAAGCATGAGCGGGGCTGATTTATAACGGAAATATGAATTCCAACAGAAATTTTTAAAAACCGACTTTTATGAAAGCACACAATCTCGGTGTCCGCCGATAACATCACGGCAAAAACATTGCGGACGAAAACTTCGCGGAGAAAACAACGCAAGGTGAAAACATCGGGCTACAAAACATCGTGGGAGAAAATATCGAAAAGAGAAAACATCGCAGTCCTAAAACATCGTGGTACAAAACATCGTCGTCGAAAATAAAGCGGTTGAAAAACTTCGCAGTTTATATAATTATATTTATTGACTAATAAAGTTTTGCTGAAAACGTAAGAAGGAAACTTAAGCATAGACAATTAAATGCAACTTATAGAGTATACTTTTCACGAAAAATTACCATTAAAAACTTTATAAAAATGTTTTATTAATGGCCTTTGTTAGTTAACTATGTCGGTTTAAAATTCTATTGAGTGCTATAAGTTGCATTAATTTTCTATGCTTATTCTCATTTTCTCAGCAAAAATTTATAAGTTAATAAAAAATATGAAAGTAAAAATTATCCTTCTTTCCATCTTGCGCTCACAAATCATTATGGGAATATCCATTACAGTTATTAAAGCCTTAAAAGAAAGCATGTCTGCGATGTTATCATCATGCGATGATTTGTAGACACTTTATTTTTTACCACGATATTTTCGACGACGATGTTTTTAAACTGCGAAGTTTTTGAACCGCTTTATTTTCGACGACGATGTTTTGTACCACGATGTTTTAGAACTGCGATGTTTTCTCTTTGCGATGTTTTCTCCCACCATGTTTTGTAACACGACGTTTTCGCCTTGCGTTGTTTTCTCCGCGACGTTTTCGTCCGCGATGTTTTTGCCGCGATGTTTTCGGCTGTAACCCACAATCTCTTACTCTCCTTGTATTTAAATACTTACCTCACCTCATGCTAACTGTCAAAAGCTTAATAAGAATTAAGATATACACTAAGCAAAGAATTCGTAATGCATTTTATATATCACTAAACATAAATATTTAAGTTGCAGCCTATAATAATTTTAAGGGGAAATAGATTTCTATGGAGATGTATAACGCAAATAACTTATTTTAATCTTTTTTTTGTGATGTACAACACATGCATGATATTTCTGGAGACTATTATAAAACAGAAAACTTATTAACAATTTTAAATTTTCAGAGTTTACATTACGCTCAAAGGGGTGTTTTTTCAACATTTTGTGTGTTACCTTTATTTATCAAATATAATTTCTTCACGATTAAACCATAAAATTTAATTAAACAACAATATCGTAAAATAATTTTAAAATAAGTATATCTCTAGAATTTCCGATACACAGTTTCGAGCGCTGGAGATAAAAATGTTTTTTTTTTTTCCTTACTGTGTTGCCATTTTTCGCTTTGAAATCGTTGAGGTTATTCAAAAATTCGGTAAAGTTTTACAAAATATGAATTCGATAATAAATCAAATTCCAAAATAGGGCTTGCACATGCCCATATTCGGTGGAGAATTACCTTATTCAAAATTTGATGGCTCTAGGTACCATTGTTTTATCACAATGCGAGAAATATACATACATTTATGCAGATTCTTCATTACCTAATTTCTTTAAATATAATACAGCGCTGTAAAGTTTCCTCCATTTCTTTTCATATATATAAAGCATCATTCGATAGGAAACGAGCATTCATTGCTCTTTTGAATTATTAATGAATGAAGACTGATATTATCAGGACTAGTGTTTCTTTTGACTTGCTTTGGAAACATGAATGGTCCTGAATAGGTGTGGTGTGGTGTGGTGTATTTATTTATGGCAAAGCACACTAGGGCTATCTGCCTAAGAGGAGGGATGCCTTTCATGGAGGACTTTCTAAGGGAAACTGGCTCGTATACACGTTACACATGGGGAAAACCACGAAAACACCCATGCAGCCGCCTTCGCGGGATTCGAACCTCGGACCCAACTACCAGTGTTCAGCGACTTTACCGCTCGGCCGCTGGTGGGCCGGTCCTGAATAGGAACAGGGAGCTTACTCAAGCTATGTTCAAGAATGTGTGAAGTAGACAATACAAGCAGGAAGGGTATACGAAACCCTTTATTTTCTATACTTTACAGGAATTTCCGAAACTTCGGAATACAGAGACCAACCACTTGTGGTCTGAACGTAAGAATATAAAAACTACTAACTAAAACTCTAACTAAAAACTAACTTTGAATTAGTATACAAGTGCCTAGCACTAAGATTGGCCTTTATTTAAAGAAAGGTACGTATGTAGTACGCCGAGCTGCTAAAACTACGATACGTCTGCAATTATCAAGAGGGCTAAACCTCTGGCCTTGAAGGCAACCAGCAACAGAGTGAAAACTCGTAAAACTACAGTGGCAAGCGGCTTGCTTCCTTATAACTCCTTCCTCTCTCTCTCTTGGCAAAAAGCCACAACTTAAGTACTTGGCGTTAGCAAGACAATTTGCATAAACAAGTTAAAGCGTTTAATTCTGGCCGGAAGTAGAAAATAAGAAGTGATAGTACAGTTTTAAAATAAAATAAACGTTAGTAAAACTTAGGATCCTTACAATATTGCCTGTAGTACTGTAGGGTTCCTCATTATTATCTTGTTAAATGTAATGGCGAGGATCCTAATGAAATACTGAGCGAATAATCGCTTAAGTCCGTGAACAGAAACGTAAACTTAAGCAGGGTTAATTACCCTTTATTTGCTCAAAATAAAGATTTACAGTAGGCTGCTTTCTCAGAACGTACAAGAAAGCTTTCACTTGGGCCGGAATACAGAGACCGACGTATTGACGTATAGATAACTGCAGACGTATCGTAGTTTTAGCAGCTCGGCGTACTACATACGTACCTTTCTTTAAATAAAGGCCAATCTTAGTGCTAGGCACTTGTATACTAATTCAAAGTTTTTAGTTAGAGTTAGTAGTTTTTATATTCTTACGTTCAGACCACAAGTGATTGGTCTCTGTATTCAAAATGTAAGAAATAAGAACTAACTAATGAATAACTAAAGAGATTTACCCGAACCTAGCACATTTCTAAACT